AAAAAGAAAAAATCAGAAATGTTACAAATTTTCTTACCCTGTTGTCTTTTACTTGGTTAATATCTGTTGGTCACTGAAAATTCAGTGCTGTCATCACCTCTTATTGGAAGCCTTATATAACCTCCTCTCCCACTCCCAAGCTGGTTAAAATGCTCCTACAACCTCTACCATATTTCTCCTTGTAACGATGTAGTCACTTGACTCCTAGTGGACTCTAAATTTCTGGAAGGTAAGCAGTGTGTCGTGTCTTATCTTTGTGTCTCTAGCATCTAGCCTAGTATTTGGTGTCTAATAGGAACTCAGTGAGCACTTTTTTTTAACTGGAACTGGGTGGTATCATTTGCCCAAAGTCATAGAACTGCTGTGTGCAAAGGCCTAAGCACCAGGACATTTGATTCTTTATCTAGTAAACTTTCCATTATATTCTATAAAGAGTCACTGATGAAGAAACCATGTGGGTATACATCTAGAAAATGTACTCCACAGATAGACATTTTATTGATCTCTGAAGAACCAGTAAATGTAAATGGTATAAACTCATTTAAAGACTGAGATACACAGAGTTAAAAAAAAATGATCTATCTATACATTGCCTACCATAACTCTCTTAAAATATAAGGATATAAGCAGGATGAAAGTAAAAAAAAAGAAGATATAAAATGCAAACAGTATTCAAAAAAAAAGCAGGAATGGCTGTATTAATATCAATAAAATTACCACAAAGGAAAAAGAACATTAATTAATAATAGAAGGGTCAATTTACCAATACACAGAAATCTTAAATGTGTATACACCAAAAAATAACAACAAAAAGCAGTGGTAAATATATGAAGCAAAAACTGAACTGAAAGGAAAATTACACAAAATCACAACGGTAGTTGGGGACTTCAACATTCTTCTCTCAACAACTGATGGAGACAATGACAGAAAATCAGCAAGGATATAGAAGAACTCAACAATACATTCAACCAATGGAAATTTAATCAACACTTGAAGAACACTGCAAACAATAACAGTGATGACATTCTTTTCAAGCACCCACAGAAAACATATACCAAGATAGACTGTATCTCGGGCAACAAAACAAACTTAAACAAATACAATTAAAATTGTACTGAGTATTCTCTCACCACAGTGGAATCCACGTAGAAATCAGTGACACAAAGATAAAAGGAAAATATCCAAACTTTGGAAACGAAATAATACAGGTTTTTAAATAAGCCATGAGTAAAAGAGGAAGTCTCAAGGGAATTTTAAAAATACATACTAAATGAAAATACACAAAGCATTACAAAAATTTGTGCAGCACAGTTAAAGCAGTTCTGAGAAGGAAATTTATAGCACTATATGCTTACATTTGACAAGAAGAAAGTTTCAAATCAATAATAGAGGTTCATATCTCATTTCAGAGACACTGGAGAAAATAGGTCAAGCACTTCTGGCACATGGCAAAATGTTTGGACAGGAAGACCAAAGTAATGCCAATGTCTCAGATGAATGTAGACGATGACCTAATTTAAAGACAGGTACAATTAAATTCTGGGTTTCCTTCAGTAGGAAACCCAGACCAGCTTTAAAATCTCCAGGAGACAGAGGAACAGGAATATATACACCACAGGGCATATTATCAATATCTATACATAAACCCACAAAGGAGCCCTATGTGGGCATAAAGTGATGAATACACCAGCAGGATTCTCACCTATCAGGGTGTGTTTACTACATTATCAATTTAGTTCTTGAGAGTTGACTTTCCTAGTAAAGGGGGTACAAAGAAGATGGTAGCTTATCAACTGGATTTAGTGGCAATACGCTAAGGAATGAGGAAAGAGTGATTCAGAAAATGGTGTGAAGCATATTACTCAGGTTTATCTAAAAAGTTCAGTTTTCAAGGACTTGACTTGAATCTCAGTAAGAGAGGGGCTTTCCACAGAATTCTAAACAAGCTGACATGCAGTCCAGTGCCCTTAACTGGGTATGGTATGAGTGGTTACCCATATGGATGGAGTCAAGCGTGTTAGTGGTATTATCAGTACTGGGAGCTGTGCAGGAATAACTTCCAGGAGTTGAAATCATTGGCAGCTCAGCAAGGACCCTATTCCAAAGGTCACTAAAGGTGCTAAGAGGAAAAAGAAAGAGATGACACTTGGAGCTCTAAAATACCTATAGGAAAACATAGTAGATACCTCCGGGGGTAAACTGTGTATTTTGAACACTCTAGAAGTCAGAGAACTATAATAGAGTTAGCAAAAGTCTATGAGTAACTATTATTCTGACTCTGATCTCATCTCCAGGTTGGGGTAGCCCTGTGTATTTCAGGGCAGCTTTATTTCATGGTAGTAACAGATCCAAAAATGAATATATTTTATAAAAAAATACATATGCATGCATAGTACAAAGAGAAATTTGTTTTCCTGTCATCTAAATGCTAAGTTTCCAAATCAAAAAATTTTTACCCTAAAAATTAATGTGTATTGTGCATTTAAAATTGGTTTTGGGAACTCTGTGATAGGTGACCTACTTAAAAAGCTTGAATTGCAATGGGTAATAGCAGATAACCTGGGCCTGAAAACATCCTTACATATATGCATAGTATAGATCGTTGAGATGGAGGGAAAGGGTTAGAAGAAACAAGCCATGGCCATATCAATGGACTACTGACACCAGCTGGCAAAGAAGGTTCTACAGGCCTGGGGAAAAGCCACTATAGGGGTAAGGGCAAGAGGCAAGGATAGGCTCTATTTCTGGTCAGAGTCAGCCTTTACCCTTCATTAAAAATGACCAGCCATTTACTCTCACTAGTCATAGAGAAACAGCCTCACAAAAGAAGTCTATAGGATGTCAACTGGATAATTAGACCTGTAAAAAACCTAACTCAGAGGAATTAAACAGAGGAAAACAAAATGTACGTAATGGTTTCTATTTCTTCCAGTCAAGAAAATCTTCCCAGAGTCCCTCACACTTGGGTCTCATATGTCTCCAACTGACAATCGTCTTCAAATGAGTGTCCTAATTTTTCTTCCAAATCAATTTTCCAAATCTGAATGGCTGATTTATTAATCAGCTTTACTGGTATAACAGACAAAATTGTAATATAGTTAAAGTGTACAATACGATGATTTGATATACAAATACATTGTGAAAGGACCCCACCATCAACTTAATTAACACACCACCGCCTCATAGTTACTTTTCTTTCTTTCTTTTTTTTTTTTTTTTTTGGTGAGAATGCTTAAAATCTACTCTATTAGCAAATTGCAATTATACAATACAGTGTTATCAACTGTAGTCACCATGTTGTATTGGACACTCAGATCTTAATCATTATATAACTGAAAGTTTGTACCTTTCACCAACTTCTCCACATTTCCACCAACCTCAGCCCCTCACAACCACCATTTGACTCTCCGTTTCTGAGTTTGACTTTAATTTTGATTCCACATTTAATGATACCATGCAGTACTTTTGCCTGGCTTATATTATTTATAATGCTCTCCAGATTCATTCAGGCTATCTCAAATGGCAGGATTCCCAAAAGGGATGTGGAGTATTGCTTCAGCACTGAAAAAATACACATGTGTTAACAGGCCAACTGTAATCAGTTAACTCTTCTACTTTTCTTATACCTAAGATCTTATTCAAAGAGCAAAGTTTGAATTCTAGCTATCATTTTCACACAGTTCAAATCATTGACATTCTAACCCAATTTAATAAACATTATTCTAAACCAGGAGCTCGCAAACTTTTTCTGTAAAGCATCAGGCAGTATAATATTTTTCCTTTGTAAGCCATTTAGTCTCAGTCTTAACTAATCAACTCTCACTGCAGTGTAAACAAAACTATAGACAATATATAAATAGTAATGGCTGTGCTGCAATAAAACTTCACATATGGACAATGAAATCTGAGTTTCATATAATTTTCATATCTCATGAAATATTCTTCTTTTGACTTTTCCTGATCATTTAATAACAGAAAAACCTTATTCTTACAAACTCATGCCATTCACAACAACATGGATGGAGCTAGAAGGAATTATGTTCAGTGAAATAAGTCAGAAAGAAAAAAAATATGGATGGTTTCACTTATAGGAGGAATATAGGGGAACCAAATAAGGGATCAGGAAAAAATAATAAATAAAAATCAAAAATTAGCAGGCAACTATAAATCAGAGACATTCTGCAGGGGAGGGGGAGGGAGAGGGATCAAAACAGGGGAGGGAAGAGCACAAGGGACTATGATGGTGGTGCACTGATGAATTGGTAGTGGTAATTTTACAGGGACTACACCTGAGAGGAGAAAACGAATATTGTACAAAAATGAACAATGATGTAAAATATATATAAGTAAATTTAAAAAACCAAATACCTTATTCTTAGCTTGTGGACTGTGTGAAAATAGGTTGTGGGCAGATCTGGCCGGCAGGCTATAGTATACCAATCCTGCTCAAACCAAGACTTGATGCCTCCCTGAAGGAATTTTAAAATTTCAGGCATTCCCTGATTTAAAGAAGTTAACATTTCAAGCCATTATCTTACCAAAAATTTATATTAAAGTTTCAGCTGGCAGGAGTGGCAAATTCTTTAAGAGCAGAGCAACATATTAGAGTAGAAAAAGAACTTGAAAATAAATTTATAGATCTGTAACACAATGGCTGTATAAAGCTACAAAACCCATTCATTCTTTCTGGAACCCAATTCCCTCCATTCCAGTCTATGCCCAACAATCTTCCACATCATTGCAAGGGAGTGGGAATTATAACTATAATTTACTAAACTAATGTTAAATTCTGTCTGAGATATACACACATACTCATTTATAGAACTCATGTCTATTTCTAATGTGTGCCTATCCCTAATGAAGCAAAGACACCTTCAAAAGAAGGCTTTTATCAATATTATTCCAATTTATTCTGGAATATAGAGCTTAGTTAGGATATTTTGAACAGACTAAGCAATGAAAACTCCAAATAGGATAAAAACAAAAGAAATCCATGTCCAGTGCTCACTTTGGCAGCACATATACTAAGGTTGGAATGACACAGAGAATAGCATGGCCCCTGTTCAAGGATGACATGTAAATTCGTGAAGCATTCCATATTAAAAAAAAAAAAAAAGAAATCCATGTCCAGACACATCTAAATCAACCTTCTGAACATGAACACGGAGAAAAAAGTTGAATTACAGTAGATTTTTCAATAGAAACCATGGAGGTCAGCAGGAAATGGTACACATTTGAAATGGTTGGGAGAGAAGGGGGGCAGTCAATACAGAAATCTTTTTTCAGCAAAAATATCCTTCAGGAATGAGAATTTATAGCCAGGAATCTGCTCAAAAAGTATTGCTACAGGAAATTCTTCAGACAGTTGGGAAATTATAGCAGAAAGAAATTTAGAAAATTAGGAATGAAGGAAGAGCAACATGGCAAATACTGGGTAAATATAATACATTATTCTTCTCTTGGGTTCTTCAAGATGTTTGGCAGCTGACAGTAAAAATGAGAATGTATGAAAGGATTTTCAACAGGTGTAAATAGAATATACAAGACAACTATAACATAAGGGGGGGCGGTAAAGAGACCTCTAGGGTGATAAGGTTTCGGCATTGGTCTTTTAGTGGTAAAATATTGATTCTAAGTAGACTGTGCAAAGCTAAGTATGTATAATTCCTCAAGCAACCACAAAAATATGCAAATAAATAAAAAATCAGAACAGATGAACTAAAATGCAGCACTAAGAAAAGTTCAAGTAACCAAAAAGAAGGCAGGGAAGAGGGAAAAAGAGAAAACAACAGAGGTAACGCAAAGAAAATAACTGGTAGGCCTAAACTATGCATGTCAATAATTACATTAAGTGTAATGGTCTGAACATATGATTAAAAAGCAGAGATTTACACCATGGAATATCACTCAGCATTCAAAAAAGATAAACACATGCAATTTGCAACAACATGGATGGCGCTGGAAGGGATCATGCTCAGCGAAATAAGCCAGAAAGAAAAAGAAAAATACCGGATGGTCTCACTTATAGCAGGAATCTAGAAAACTTAAATAAGGGACCAGGAAAAAGAATAACTATAAGAAAGTGAAAATCAAAATCAACAAAAAACTATGAACCAGAGAAACTCTATGGGGGGTGGGAGACGGGGAGGGGAGGGATTGGGGTCAAAATAAGGGGGTTGCAATTGTATGGGGAATATAAAAATAAAATTTATTTAAAAAAATAAGAAAACAAAAAAACAAAATAAAAAGCAGAGATTGTCAGAGCAGATTTAAAAAAAAAAAACATGACCCAACTCTACACTAAAAGAAAATCACTTCAATTATTATGATGTAAGTGAAAACTGAAAGCATAAAAAAAGATATATGATGCAAACATTGATCAAAAGAAAGAATTCAGAGCATGAAAAATTACAAAGATAAAGTGGGATGCATAAGGCTTGACATTAAGCTAAAGGGGTTATTAACTCACCCCAAAGATTTAACAATCTTAAATGTATAAATACTGAAAAACAGTGCTTTAAAATCCATGGAACAAAAACTATCACACTTGAAATTACAAATAGAAAAATTTATAGTCACATTTGGAGACTTCAATACTTCTTTCTAATTAATATATAGAACAAGACAAAATCAGCAAGAATATATAAGAACTGAATACCAATATCAGCTAAGTAGGATTAGTTGAAATATATAGAATGCAATACACAACAACAGCTGAATACAATTTCTTTCAACAAGATAGACTGCATCCTGGTTCATAAAACAAACTTCAAATAAAAAAGAAATGAAATCATAAAGACTGGGGACCTCCCTGGTAGTGCAAGGGGTTAAGTCTCAGCACTATGAAGCTATCTGCAGCCAATGCAGCATGATTTTGATCCCAGGTCAGGGAGCTAACCCAATAGTGCAGCAGACCTCTCATGTCTCACCCACTGTTCCTCTCAGCAGTGTATTTCAGTTGATCCACCTGTTCTGTTTGTTCCCCACTCTGTCCCTGGTGAATCCTCTCATCCCCCCAACACTTCTGGCCTGCACCCCAGTTTTTGTATGCATAAATAAAAATAAATCTTTAAATAAAAGAAATCATAAAGACTATGTTCACTGATCAAAAAGAAAGTAAAACAGAAACCAACAATAGAGAGCTACGAGGAAAAGCTCCAAACACTTCTATATTAGAGAAACTTTCAAGGAAATTTAGAAAATATTTTGAGTTAAATATAAATGAAAATACATCATAATCCAATTTGTGGGTTACAGCTGAAGCAGTAGTTAGGGGGAAAATTTATAGCACTAAATGCTCCTTTAGGGAAAAAAGATCTCAAATAATTTATACTTCCACCTTAGGGAACTAGAAAAAGAGCAGCAAAACAAATCCAAAGTAAGCGCAAAAAGGAAATAACCAAGATAACAAAAATCAATGAAACTGAAAACAGAAAAACAGAAAGTCAATGAAAACAAAAGCTGGCTATTTGAAAAGATATCAATAAAGCGGATGAATCTGAAGACTGAGAAAGAAAAAAACGGAACACTCAAATTACCAGTATCAGGTATGAAAAGGGATTCTAATCCACAGGCATTAAAAGGAGGGACCCCCTGGGGGCGCAGAGGTTAAAAACACAGGGCTATCAAGCTATCACCAGCCAATGCAACATGAGTTTGATCCCTGGCCAGTCAGAGAGCTACCCACATGGCACAGCAGACCTCTCCTGTCTTGCCTGCTGCTCCCCTCAACAGTGTATTTCAGCAGATCTGCCTGTTCTGTTCCCCATTCTGTCTCTGGTGAATCCACTCATCCCCCTCCACACCTCTGACCTATACCCCAGTTCTTGTATGCATAAATAAATAAATCTTTAAAAAAAATTAAAAGGCTACTAAGGGGATTCTATGAATAACTACTCACATCAATTAGAGAACTTAAATGAAATAGAAAGATTGCTTGAAAAACCAAACTATCCAAATTCATTGAAGATGAGTTAGATAACCTGAATAATGTTCTATTTATTAAGGGAATTAAATTCTCCCATAAAGCTATTTTTAGAAAGAAATGCCCACACTCAGATGGTTTCACTGGCAAAAATCCAAAAAAAAATTTAAAGAAAAAGATAACATCAGTTCAATATCTTTTCTAGAAAACAGGAGGGAAACCCTTCCCAATTCATTTTAGCAAACCCTGATACCAAACCAGATAAACACAGTACATAAAGAAAACTATAGACCAATATTCCTCACCAAGAAAGCAGCAAGCATCTCCAACAAAAATATTAGCAAATCTAACAGCAATACATAAAATCCTACAACTAAGTGGGGTTAATACTAGGAATGCAAGGCAAGTTCAATATTCAGAAATCAATATAGTCAACCTTATTATGTCTAAAACAGAGAAATGACATTATTGTATCAGTTGATGACAAAAGCATTTATCAGCACACATTTCATGACAGAAACTCAAAATACCAGGAATAGGGGCCTCCCTGGTGGCACAGCAGGTTGAGTGCAGCGCTGTGAAGCTGTTCACAGCCTCTGCAGTGCGGGTTCGATTACCGGCCGGCCAGGGAGATTCCCACATGGCATGGCAAACATCTCCTCAGCAGTATATTTCAGTCAGTCTGCCTGTTCTGCTCCCCTCTCTGTCTCTGGTGAACCCTCTCACCCTCCTGCGCCTCTGGCCTGTACCCCAGCTCTGGTATAAAAATAAATAAATCTTTAAAAAATAAATACTAGGGACAGAAGGGAACTTGCTCAACTCGACAAACTATTTCTATTAAACGTTATACTGCAACTCTAAGCTTGTACAATAAGGGACAACAAATTTTTAAAGGCATACAGATTGTACAGATTAAAAAAATTAATCTGTCCCTGCTCCTAAACAGCATGATTGTTGTTGAGAATATTATCAGGGAATCTATTCTTGAAAATTCTATAACAAATATAGTTAATTAACTTTGCAAGGGAGCAGGACATAAGATCAATTATAAAAAATGATAGTATTTCTATATGATGGGGTCTCCCTGGTGGTTCAGGTGGTTGAGCACTGTACTATGAAGCTGTCCGCAGCCTCTGCAGCGCTGGTTCAATCCCGGCCAGCGAGGGTCCCACATGGTGCAGCAGACCTCTCCTGTAGCACCCACTGCTCCCCTTAGCAGTGTATTTCATCAATCTGCCTGTTCTGTTCCCCACTCTGTCTCTGGTGAATCCTATCACCCTCCTGCACCTCTGGCCTGTACCCCAGATCTTGTGTAAATGAATAAACAAATCTTAAAAAAAAAAGAACAGCAAAAGAACTAGAATAGCTAAAAACAATTTTTAAAAAGAATAAAATTGGAAAAAATCACATAATAATTTTAAGGCTTACCATAAAAAACTACAGTGATCAAGACAGTAAAACTGATAAAATGATAAAAATAGACCTATGGAACAAAAGAGTCCATATAGTGACCTCCATAAATACGGTCAAGTGATACAGGAGTAAAAGCAATGTAAAGGAGAAAGGGAGTCTTTTGGGCAACTGGTGCTAAACAACTAAACAACCATTCACCCAAACAATTGTACAGAACTTTACCTAAACTCCACATTATATAGTATGAAGATTAGTTCATTGGGCATAGATCTAAATGTAAAACATGTAACTATAAAACTTTTAGAAGAAAACATAAAATCTTCTTGACCTAAGGTTAGTAAAAACAGTTCTCAGACATGAGTCCTTTAAAAAATGCTAAATTGAACTTCATAAAAATTAAAGTCTTGCTTGGTGAATGATACTGTTAAGAGTGAAAAGCAAAGCCACACAAGTAAAATATTTGCTGATAAATCACATAACAAAGGCTTTCTAACCAGAATATTTAAAAAAAAAGAAAACTATCGAATTTAAAAAAAAGAGCAAAATACTTGAGTAGACACTCCTCTCAACAAACACTTGAAAAAAAATACTTCTCTCTCAGGGGTTAAATAAAAGTCATGAATTTGAAGTTAGGTTAGCTTTTTTAAAATGTAAGGGTAGTAGTAACTTTCCTTCCATCTCCCTACATCTCAGGGCAAAAGCTGGCCGCTCTGACAATTTTTTGGAAAATACTTTATTGTAAAATATTAAAGTGGGTTGAAAAATGT